TTTATTAATCACCCCTTTGAACACACTCTCCCAACCCCTCTTTTCATCTTTGATAGAATTGTTTAACAATTTCTGTCAAAATTGGCACAGGCTTAGATACTTATTTTTGCACTAACCAATTTTATTAGTCTATTCCTCTCTCTCAACTCATATGACTCTTTTACTAATAGTGAAGAAATCCTTCATTTAAAGTAACTGTAACAGTATAATAGCTTTTGCATCATGCTGATATTATTGTAATAATAATTATAATTAGGAAATGGATATTATTTATATGTCCAGAGCTAATAATTTAATTATAAATAATTATTTATTTAAAAAATTAAATATAATTATTAGAATAAAATATTTAGATTTTTTATGATCAACCAATCAGAAGCATGAAAGCCGACGGACAAAGTTCGCACGTGATTATGTTCTATAAATTTTAGACATTATACGGTTTTATTGTTTCTTGATAAGGCGGAGCTTCCCTTCGTAGTTTGGCAATTGCTGGGTTATAGTATTGGAGTTTAAATTGTTGCTTTGAAGTTGTAATTTTTGATTATTTGTGGATGATTGTTGTTGTGGTAGTGGTTGTTGAGGTAATGGTTTTTGCAATGGCTGTGCTTTTTCAGTAGCTAATTGACCAGAGAAAGCATCAGCAATAAATTTAACAATCGTTTTAAAAGTGTTATGTCTACAGTGACGATGGCAATAACGCCGGTGCCGACGTTGGCATCTTGTCGTTCCCTATACGTATCCGTATTTTCTAAAACGTATACACAATAATTTATTCATAGCAAGTTCATTACGCAAATCTGCCGTAATGCTTTGGGATTTCTACTTTGATTATTCGGGACGCGGAAATTCCTAATCGCATGAGTTTACCTCTAACGTACGAATTGTATTTGCGAATAAATATAAACTAGTATTTATAGTTTCAAAATTATGAAAGGAACATGTATGTCTAGCAAAAAGAATACATTATTTTCTTTTCTCTAAATGGGTAATTAGCAGAATAAGTCATTTTCTATCTACAAATAAAAATTTAAATTTTATGACTTAAAGAATTGACGTGCGATAGTTTTGTTTTAGCGAATAATAGAGCGACCCTTACTGGTGCCAAAACATAAGAAATATATATCGATATGACTTGGCAATCATTTAGCATTTACCTTGACATTGTATAGTAACTATAGAAAAGATAGTGCTCGTTCTTTGTTGATTAGTACATGTAGTTTTTATATTGTAAAATGAAATGAAATTATAAAATTTAGTTTAAAAAACAATGAATATTCTTTCGTTTTATGAAGAAAGCACCGACAAACTTCTTTATTTCATGTTCTATATAATAAGGCTGAATAATTGTTTAGTGTCCTTATTTTGAAAAAATCACGGGTAAATAAAAATAAACACCGCAATTTTATTGGTTATAGATTAATTGATAAGATAATATTGACAGGATTTGAATTATCGTTATGTGTTCAAGCAGCAGACATTTCTTCGGAAATTCTTCAAGTTCTGATTCACCACAATCATGACAAACATCATATCGTTTACGAAAAGCTGGTCAGATAATGTCAGACTTTGTGTTTTACTTTCTCGAAGAACTGTTCAAATGGAAATCTCCTTGTAGTTTTGGCAACCCAACTCAAAGTCAATCTTGACATAATGATAAATGGCATTTTTGTTTGCCTCCTTTTCAAGAAAAACCTTAAATCACAAGAAGAGCCTATAAAAATCACCATCCTTACTTAAAATGCTATGCTAAATTTCAATAGGATAAAATTTACACGTGATATTTAATCCTGTTTGAAGGAGGTTACTTGAAGTGGGTGGGGAGGACGTTAAACAATCTATCAATTTCAAAGATTCAAACTGAATTCACAGTTATAATGAGGCAACGACTGTATAGAATCTATACATGATGAAATTCACAATGTTATCGTTATAATCATAAGGCAACTAGAGATTCGAACTGACATGGATAGTGACGTTGTCCGGCGATAGTTCCACATGTCTTGACCCAATCTGATATTCGATGACGTGAAGTGCATTTGTCATGGTTTTTCCCAGAGATTTCATCGTCGATTTATTATACATGTACACCAAAAAGTATACTAAACGTCATCAACTTGATCATAATTTTTCATATATATGAGTGGTGTCGTTTAGTTTGAGATTTTTCCCAGAGCAAGAAATTAATCATAATGCATCCAGATACTAAAACCTCCAATATCATCAAGAAGAGAAAAGAATATTTCGATTCACCCGAAATACTGCAACAAAAGACGAAAAAACTGATCGAGTTGATTCGTAAAGCAAAGTTTGTCGTAGTGTTTATTGGTGTTGATAGTTTTGCGAGTAATCAGGAAGGTGAGATCATTATTTTAATTACGTATAAACGATAAGAACGGAATAATGTTCAAGGTGTATTTTATTGATATTTTAAGGTAATTCGATCGCGAAGTCACCACAGTCTACAAAAGGCCAGAAAGTACTCATTAAACTACTCGAACTTGGTTGCATAAATTATATAATATCACAGGTAAAAAAATAAAGATATTTTTTATTCATTCATTCATTCATTCATCACTCTAACTTACAATTGCTGTTAAAACATAGACTACAGATGGGATGCTCGTCAGATATGGCGTTCCATTGACGGCCATTGGTGAATTGAATGGGAATATTAATATTGAAAAATGTCCAGAGTGTAAAAGATCATATTGGAGAAAGTTTAGTGTTTTGGAAGCGAATGGCAGTGGGGGCGAAGGTTTTCGTACCTGTAGTAATAATAATCGTCAGACTTGTCGCCGATGTAATAATTGTGGATGTAAGTTTTTTTAACTTTAAGGGAATGAACTGCTATTTATTTCTATGCCTTAGTTATAACGAAGATTCTTTTTACATAGACTTTTTGCATAACACAATCATTTATCCTAATGAAAGCATACCGAAAGAATGTATCCAGAAAGTAGCAATTCACGTGCATCAATGTGATCTCTTAATAACTCTTGGCACTTTATCCGCAATCAACCCCATAAAAGACCTTCTTCCACAACCTTCTACATCAACCGAAAAACTCTTAACAATAACAGTCAATACACAAAAAACACCACAGGACACTAATCCCGCCACTCTACGCATTTTCAGCCGACCAGACGATATTCTATCTTTGATCTCCAAATGCTTCAACATTTCCGATCTTGATAAAATCAAAGATCTCGCCGACGACGATGGCTCTTCTCTCGAAATGATCATTTTGCCGAATCCAAGTCCACAAAAGTTGGACGTAATTAAGGAAACTAGAATGGAATTACGTAAATGGTCGGTTGAGAAGTTGGAAGAGGCGTTGAGGGAGCGTGGTATTGTTTTGCAGACTACTGTTGAGAAAAATGAGTTGGTTGAGATTATTTTGCGGAGGTGTAGCAGTATTATGTATTGGGTTTAAGTATAAGAATACACGAGAAATTTAAATTATACTAAGTACTTTCAAATAAAGCCAGCATTACACTAATTAACGTTAATATCTGGGAAATAAAAGAATGCCATTCCTATTATTGCTAAAACTGCAAGTCGAAGAACATAAAATATTAAAATAAAAATGTTTACAAGTTATAGTTCACAAATAGATTCCGGGCATTTCAATTTACCAAAATAATATTCTTTCGTTGAATGGAGCTTTATCAGAGAAAAAAGTCTATAAATAGAACAATTTACTAATGATGAGTTATTCCTTAATGTTAAATATTACCTCTGCTACTTTGCCACCATCGGAAGCAGAATTAACCCAATGAAAGATCGATTCGTCACTGAACCATTAACAAGTCCTTTGGTTGAATTCACCAACATGTCGGCTGAAAGTTCTGACAAGACAATCAAAACTACTAAAAATAAAAATTAAGTGCAGCGAAAATCGTAGATATCGATGTGTAGTTTAACCAAGTTGCAAAGAAACAAAAAAGACTTTCTATATCGAATAAAAACCATAAATCAAATGCCGCGCATCGACTTAATTTCAATATCGTGGCAGAATTCGAGTTACGTATCATCAAACTAGCATCTCGATCTACTTTGGTGGTGGATATGGAAGATCTCGAACTTTGATTCCTTTTTAATCCGAGAATCAGATTATTGAGCGAATAAATAAGAATACACCATTTTTTGTTTTAAAGTTGTACAAGTCTACGGAATTTACAAATGTCACGTGAAAGAAACCGCCGAGTGTTAGAAAAACAACTATTCGAGAGAATATTTTAATTTGTGCAGCATTAAAAAATAAATAAAGTAAATAATCTACCTGTCCAATTTAGATCAAAAGCAAAGTAAAAGTATCTCGCAATTCGAAATTCTAAAAGGTGATAAAATCATAAGAAAATTTATGCTTCTTCCTCTAGTTGATTCTGCTCTAATACCATTTTGTCGATGATGCATTATTTAGCTGCGGTGGAAATTTCTCTTTTGTTGTTATTTCTGTTGATTATATTTTTCGCCAACATCTACGTATTTATTAGATTCCGTTTTTATTTAAAAGTCTTTGTTTTGCGTTCATATTCATGTACATGCAAGTATTAACTTTTGCATGATTGAAGAGTTTCGGTCTGTATGGCTGGTCAAATATCTGTCTGACACACTGGAATCGGGACGTCAATGCCGTTCGCAAAATTACTCCATTTATAAGAACCTACTACTAGACTGCTGGTGGTAGGATATGTTTAGCAGGCGCAACGATAATTAGCTATAGCGATAGGCATTACATTTAACGTTAACGTTAAAAGTCACAATTTATCCGCGGATCATTCCCAAGAACGTACATGTAACTTCTTTGTAACGGTAACCTTGTTTTTAGTATCGGTATGGTGTATTATTCAAAATCGGCGCAGCTCATGTGATTTAATGCATAATGCACACACTTTCACAAAAATAGGTTGAACTTTTTAAAGTTTATTTTTTCTTTCACCTCTACGTTTACATACTCTCGCGAAATAACAACGATAATAACGAGAATAATACAATAAAAATAATTATGAATTTACCGATTGATTTGCTCAAAGAAATATTTAGCCATTTTGAACAAGACAAATATTCACTTTATGAATGTGCACTAGTAAATCGTACATGGAATTCCGCCGTAATCCCTATATTATGGCGTAATCCTTTCGGTTTAGCCAAAGTAGAAAATATTGAGAGTGCAACTATTACTGATAATCCCTTGGGCTTAATGACAGATGACACTAATAATGATAATAATAACAACAGTGGTATTTTCGAAACATCACTCGAAGATCTTGAAGACCTTCGAAGACGTTTTGACGGTGACAATTTCATGTCGGACGACGACGAAGATGATCTTTGGGTGTCTGAAACATTTGTTTATCAGAGCAATGAACAAATCAAAAGAGAAATCATTCGTACTTATCTGAATTGCTGCAACGATTTTGAATGGGAAATTATTCGGGATGGTGGAATTGATATGCCAAGATCATTAATCAAATCCACCTATAATTACATCGAATTCCTACAAGTGGTCAATGATGTTGACGTAATGGAGGCTGCAAGAGCGTGGGTGAATGGACCAGGGAATAATTTTCCATCATCAGCGCCTCAACTAGTCACCAAAACTCTCTTGACAAAATTTGCACAATCCGCCAAAAAACTCAAATGGGTTTCGATTCGTCTGAGCGCACCATGGGATTCATCTTCAATATTGATTAGTTTTTTTCGCAGGCATCAATTTCGTATAGTCACATTAGCAATCTATCTTGGCGATGTTGAATCCGAGGATAACGAAAGAGTGAAATTCTGTTTAAAGCAAGTGGCCACGTTAATTGAAGTGCAAGATAATCTTGAACGTTTTGTCATTGAGGGAGTCAAACACGGTCTATCACCCATAATTGATGCACTTCGGAAAAGACGTGGTGGTTCTTCTTCTCATCTAAAGGAAGTTTTGTTTAATCAGTGCAAATTCAACAGGAATGTATGTCAAGGGATCAGGAATTGGCATTTTTTGGAGGATTTATGCTCGTTGAGGTTCATTAACTGTTCGAATTTTTTACCGCTTGATATGATTGATTCACTGAAGGATAGTATGGTTTCGGTTCGTACGGGCGATGATAATTATTTGGAGTTAATTGGCTTGAATGAGTATACTGTTATTGAATCGTCCGAATAATCATCTATCCTAGTATAATTCTTATCTACTTTGAAGCTTTATGTAGGAGAAATTTTTTCTATATATCTGGTCATGTAATAGCATGTTGCATAATGTGCTAGCGTCAGAACCTTATTTCTTTATCTAAATTTGAATGGTGTATCCCTATACGTACGTAATAGGATGGACACATGTTGTTCTTATTGTTAAAATAAACTTCATAACGGATGTGATTCAATTTGGTGGCTTGTGCTTCTGCCGATCGTAATTTTTTATTCCATCAACAAGTACAATCGTGAAATTCACATCCACTCTTGTTCGTTTGCTTTTTAAACTCATTCTCTGAATTTTGTCAAATGGCAGGCAATAAAATTATTAAGGACGAAGAAATTTCAAGTGTAGTAGACCTGTTTGAAGGTGAGCAAAGTGTTGCGGAGGATTCAGACGCGGAAAGTTGGTTCCCGCCAGCTAAGAAACAAGTTCAAGAAACAGAAAAAGAAGAAAATCTCAAGTCAAAAACAATTTCTTCCACATCATCAATCAATAATACGAATGATAATAAAAATGAAAATAATAACAAGAAAAATGATGATTATGATAATGAAAATAATGACAAGAAGAATGATGATGATTATGATAATGATGACGCCGACAAAATTAAATTAGAAAACAACGTTAAAAAGCTGGAAACTAAACAACCAACATTGCAACCACAACAAAAAGAAAACAAGGTTCAGGAAAAAGAGGGAGACGAGTATGACGCTGTTCGTCAACTTCTTGGGCCTAAAATGACTGCAGCAGAACAAGAAAAGAAGCGAAAAGAATTAGTAGAAAAGACGCGCTCAACGTATGAAAAAGCTCAAGAGAATCGGTCAAAAACAGCGCCTACAACAACAGAAAAAAAAGTTCCGTCGATTTCAAAAGCTCCGGAAGGATCACCAAAAACAACTACAAAGGAAGGATCTAGAACTAAAATCATTGAGTCGGCAGCTACCTTCTTATCAATTCCAAGTGTTGAAAGAGCCAGCACGTCAAAGAAAATTGCATTTCTAAAGAAAAAAGGTTTAACCGAGAAAGAAATCGAATTGGCGTTGGAAAGGTCGCAAGCAGTGAGTTTTTCACTATTAATCACTTGAATGAATTTTATTCGTTTAATGTTAATTTAACATGTTTTTTATAGGATAAACACAATACTTCTGAGGATGGCTCATCACCAGAATCTACTCCACCGAGATTACCTCCGCGAACATATAAAACGCCCTTGACATCTACCGGCACTTCAATTCCGACTGTGTATCATCCTCCTTTATCAAATGACTTGGTTCAAACTTCTCCTCCAGCTTCTAAATCAAAAATCGATGTATTCAAAAAAGTAATCGTGGCATTATTTGTTACCGGTGGAATCAGCAGTGCATTAGTTCACGTAATCAAGGTACAGTTTATTGATTGATCTTTTCTCATGTAAATCTCTTTAATGATAATAATCTCATGTGATAAAAGAATTATATATTGCCTACAGCACGTGCAATCATGGCAGCACAAGGTCGACTTTATGCACATCAACTGGAACTTGTAAGAAAACTGAATGAGAATCTTAGATCATTCACTTTCGTTGATCGTATTTCTTCTGCCAACGGACAAGCAATAACAATATCATCGGATGGAAACTATTCTTTGGATACAACTTCACCAAAACCACTCGAGTTTCTCGCACCAATTCATACCACAATACTCGCAATCGTTCATCTCCTAAAAACAACCCACAAGAGAAATGCCGAATCACGAACAATATCCGATGCACACGCTGCACTCACTGATCTCTCCTCTTTTCTCAACACGAAATTATACGATTATCATTCGTGGTCAATTAGTCATGAAAGAGATTCTCCAGTTGCTCTGTGCAAGAGTGAAATCAGAAGTATCAAAGGCTCTTTGATTAGTCGTCGTACTTTTCCCAAAGTTCCAACTTCACCTTCAACTACTAGTAATCTTGGGAAACAGAAAACTCGTGTAACTCCTAATAAGGAATAAAATTTATTAGACATTTTTATTTTACACTGTTAATGAGGATAGTAGCAAAAGTTGGTTTATTAAGTAAGTGGGAAAATAATTGGCGGTGATGTAAATATATCAATCAACAACTTTTTTTTGTATTTTATATCAAATTGATCTATAGTACGTGTATAATGTTATTCCACAGAAGATAGATATTTTCTTCTTATTTTTATGGTTATGAGAAACTCTGCAACACTGGATTGATGTATTTATATATCTACAAGTGTATGAAGTCCTATAAAAGTATTTTAAGGACAAAGTAATCTGAGCGAGTGAAAAATAAATGATTGTTCAAAAATGTAATGAATAAAATGCCAATGTCTTTTCCAAAAAAAAATTATATACGGATATTATCAAAATCCATGAATATATAGTACTATCCTTGTTTCGGCCGAGCATCCTCGAATATGATATTCACGATCAACGCCGAAAATATTAAACACCCAACAAGAAACGCGACACAGAAATTCAATCGACCATTCTGAACTTTCATCACGCGTACCGCGAGCATTTGTTGAAACCCGAAATACTGCCATAGTGCCCAACACAGCAGTAGTATACCCCATATAATAAACATTATACCGATTGTTCTCGCGTATGCGTCCTCGAAATTGGAAATTGGGGTTGGTGTTGATGGGACCAAGTGAAATCGAAAGTATATCGAGAGACCGATAAGGTTGAATGATGTGCTGATTCTCAACCATGATAGAAATGTTCTTTCGATTGCTATTTTGTGCGTTGAATCGATTTTAGTGCAAGAATTTTGATGTGACAGATTATTGAATAATAAGACTTACAAAATTGATCTCGTGCCATCGAAACCTCATTCTTTATGTAAAGCGTTGTAGGAACATAACTGCCAATCGACGCTGCACATCCGTTTATTGGATTAACGAAGTATGATTGAGATTCTAACTCTTGCTCGTCATTGTCGATAGTTTGATACGGCGACAATAGATTCGTAGTAGAAGTGACAGGTGATGTCGAAGTACTTGCTATTATTACACTATTGAAAGTACCATATGAAAGATTGCTACTACTATTGTTACTCTCATTAAATATTATCGGCTGTTCATTGTCGGTATTGTCATTATTGATTTTTTCTTGGGCTTGAGAGATAGTTTCATGCATTTCAAGTTGGTAAAAATATATTTGCTTTTGGGATTTCAAGACGTACTCGAATATTTTTATATATATTAAAATAAAAAATGTACAAAATAAAAATAGAAAGAGAAAAACAATACAAAAAAGATAATCTTCGATCGGACACCTTTAACTATTTATTACCTAGACACAGAAAGATCATTATCGAAAAAGAAAGATTTTTCTGCGGTCCTCTTTAGAATAAGCACGTTTAAATAATTCATTTCTCTTTTTATTATTACTATATACATGTATACGTACATGTTTGGCGTCAAAAAACCATTACATTTACACCAACTATTCTGCTTGATTATTGGATCTTTTTTTATTGTACATAATTGTCATGAACGAAAATACTTATATATTTATTGATTACTACCTTCAAACGAATACAATACAATGTACATGTAATCTGTTATTGTGTGTCACAAAATGCATGACTTGCTTGAAAATATAAAATATATAACACAATTTAACCAAATCGGACTGGTTCAAATCCGGTTCCATTGGTTGGACCTTTTGGACTGGTTCGATTTCGATTGGATCTAGATTCAAGTATATAGCTCCATATAGCGATAGCGTTTTCTATGGAATTAGCGTTAGCACGAAATAAACTCTCTTTCTTCATCCGGAAAATGAATAAAAGAATAAAGGATATTGTTTTCGGTGCACAGACATTGATTCAATGCATGAAAGAGTACAGCGAATACAAAGAATAAGGTACATAAACAATAAAGACTTGTTTGTCTTTTTTTTGGTTGGATATTTCAGATAACAAGTTTTTTTGTGAAATAGCTTCATTTACTCTATAGCGATAGAGTTGATAACTTTCTAGTAAAAGTTTGTTTTGTCAAAAAGTTACTGCATTGTAATTATTATTTTAAAAATTTGGGTAACACATGTGACAGTCAAACATATATACCGACCTTTGTTTTAAAATTACTTTTATAATGAAGTTTCTAAAAACCTCCAATCCAAGAGGTTTGACTAATACCACAAATAATGGATCTTTGATAAATACAAAAATTCTGCTTACCGTACCGTTACCCGTTACTGTATTTTTCGTTTTTAACACAACATACGTAATGCGTGTTGTTCATTTTATAAATTGTTTAACTGGCTGGATGAATTTGTACTTCCATCGGGCGCATCATTGGTCACGCGTGATAATCTATCTATAAGATAGCTGCATCAATGAATGTTCGAAATTTAATTTCTGCAGTGTATTTGTGGGACTGTTTTTTAATTAGACAATTAGGTCATTTCTACTTAATAAAAAACGCCACGAGTCAGTAAAATAGTTCGAGTTTAATAACACACATCTTTTATGTTTAGGGAACTTAATCGATTCGGTCTGTCATTCGAACTGGAACGACCCAGTCCTTATCAGGAAAGACCGAATGACCGTTGATCTTGGGTTTTGACATATCTTAATCTTTCCTTAGTAATGTAGCATGCTATCTTTTATAGTACTCGCAAAGAAAGATAACAAAACATGCATAAAATACGAAAAACATGCAGGTAGTAATCATTTTATATGAAGAACATTTGTTTCTTACAAGAATACTGAAAAAAACTATGCATTCTTAAAGAATCTTTCTTTACTTATTATTTAGCATCGTACAAAAAAAATTGAAAGGCACGCGCTCTTAATGTAATGTTATCAAAATATTTTAAGCATGCTTTGCAAAATTAACAGGTTTTCATCAAAAGAAAAAACATTTTTTCAAAATTTGGATTTCTCTACTTGCATTTTTCTGTTGATGCAAAACCAAACATTGCGTGTAATAAAATAAAGAATTTTTCTGATGTTTTCTGTAGCAAAACACTATATATCAGGAAAAATCCAAAAATTAAAACTCGTAAATACATAATCCGCAAGGATTGCAGTTACACAGTATATACATATTAAAATTTGTTGATATTGAAAACAGGGGTTTCAGGATGAGGATTTTGTGTAACAAAAATCGATGTATATACGATCCGGCAAACATACCAAAAAAAATTGGCGCGCTTTTATTGTCGTTATGTCTAACATTAATTTGAGGTCATAACGCATAGTCTAATAGATGTGTGTTTTAAACACACAAATTATTAGTCGATATTAAAAGAATGCGATATATTTTCCAGATAATAAAACAAAGAAATATTTTGTGTATGTTAATCGGTCCGTCCAGTCCGACTCGATCTAAAGACCGATGGTCTTTGAAAGATTGAACCGAACCGTGGAGAGATACCACTTCTAATGTCAAAAATGTATCAGCCTTCCAAATTATCCGTCATGTTTGTGCAAAATTGAATTATGTATTGTTCAAAATTGAATTATGTATTGTTAATGAAAAACTTTAGTTTTTAGAGATCATTTTTTAAATTCACTTGTAAAAATTTTTATATTGCAAACACATCGTTTTCAACCAAAAATAACTTAAGCTTGAGATTATATTTAGAGATTAATTATTTGCTAACACACTAGTTAAATCACTTGGAAGAAATTCCAAACTTTTTAGGAAAACACCTTAAGCGGCTAAAAAATCTCAACCACTTTTATTATAATATAAATTTTTTGGTTCTATATATAGACTTGTTATAATATGACACTATTGAAATTATCAAATACATGTACAATAATGATTGTTTTATTAAATTATGAAATTATATTTGTTAATAAATGATAATTTCCCAAGCCAATGCATGCATTATCAGTATTTAGCTTATTTACTGGAAATTTTCAAAGGAATTAGCATACATGTATACTCACATAAGCATCCAGTACAAGTTGGGTTTTTATTAGAAATCCTATCAGGCTTGGGTGGTCTAGAGGTTAAGAGCTCAATTATTTGTAAAATGTTGCAGGCAGACCAGTATATCTTCGGTGATTTATAGTACATATGCTATTCTCGGATGGCATTTGTAATATATCGATGCATAACGGGGGTAAAACCTTAAATTTTTTTTCAATTTTTTTTAGTATTTTTCCGCAAAATGATATTCATGATGGAATTTTTTATTACTAAATTAATATCCTTGAGATAAGGTTTAAATGTTCTATAAAAGGGGTGAGTGGAAGTTTCAATTATAATATAGGCAACAGCATGTTTTTTGATAAGTAAAATAAGAAAAGACGTAGTACATGCAACATGTACGTAAACAAATTAGATAAAAAATTCAATAAGATAGTAGAAATAGTAGGCAAATATATATACTAATCTCGATATAGTGGATTAATAAATAAATTCTGTAGATTTACTACTTAACTCCCGAAAATTTTTTACTATATAATAGATCTTTCTTGATACATTATAAGGAGAATGACTGTGTAGCTTACAGTTTAGCTATAGTGCCCCTCCAAGTTTTTATATTGGAATTTTAGCGTAATTAAAAAAGATCGGTTTTATATTTCAGTCTACGTGTGCATAGGTAAATGTGTTGTAATTCTGAAGACATATGATATAGTAATTTACATAGACATCACTAGTAAGTTCCGATGTTCACGCACTATTACGAACAAAGAACTTTTTCCACATATCGATATCGATATTCCCAATTTATGGCTCACAAAGAACTTTTTTCGCATATTCCCACAATTCATGAAAAACTAAAGAAGTTCTTTTATGATAATTGATAACGATAATAGGCACATGCTTTCCTGTTATACCTGTACTAAAATGTAGTGCCATTCAGATCGATTCAAATTATTTGTAACACTATACGGTTTCATTTACACGTGCGGCGCGCGTCCGAATGATTTTATAATAAGAATAAAGAATAATAATAGAAATAAAATAAGATAAATAGCCACGCCACTTCTTCTCGTTCTTTATCAAGTGCCCTCGTTTTTTCCTCCTGTTGAACTCGAATACCAGATTTAATCAAATACGTTTCAAACATGAATACAGAACTTGTCGTTCTCTTTATAATGCTTTTTTCGTCAGTAATATCACTCGACAAATTTCTCGAAAAGAAAGCAAGAGAAAAATGTTATCGAAATCGAAATCGCATACTGATATACGGTAATTTAGAGGGAAGAACGAGTAGAGCTGCTATTGTAAAGTTATAATGAAATGTGCGAGTAACTTGTTTTGACCCATCAATAGTGTAGTGAGTATAATTATTTTTTTTTTCACTTATTTGATTTTTTCTACCAATATGATTTTTAACGATAGTATTATTAATGTTCATAAGATTTGGTGCTGAATGAAGAATAGTGGAAACAACAACTGCTACAGTGATTCCCTTTCAATTTCCTGACCAACTCGAAAGACGTCATTTTTCCGCACTTGAAACTGCTACGAAACTTTTTATTGCAATATAAATTAGGATAAATCATACTTACATCATGTTCACACACACACACATTATGCATAGTATATTATTTATTATTACTTGCAGTATAACAGCAATTATTTTCTATTGAACATAATAAAAACTTTCTCCTGGGTATTATTTCTATATCATACACGTATATAAAAGGCAAAGACAAATTTTTTCTATGGAATTTTATATTATCGTTGTGCGGGGGGGGGGGAATCCAAAATCAAGAATTTGAAACAATAAATTATCCCTTCCAATAGTAACGATAAGCATCAAATGATAATGCGTGAACTACTTAGCTCATAAAACACAAGAACCACAAAACTTGTTATTTTAAATTAAGAATAAATGTGTAACAACTGTTATTTGTAACAACCATATATTTTAATTAGCTAATTAGGATCTGAGTTAGGGTTAAGATTCTGATGTGGTTGGTTAATATTGAAGTTGTTAATTAAATCAAATTTTGTACGTTTGGGGAATAATGAACAACCAATGGTCAACTCAAATATAAACAAAAATTTGTAATTCATGGGAATAATGAACCGCCAACGGTCATTAAAACTCAAAAAAGGAAAATCAATTTGTATGTTTTTAATATAAACAAAAAATTTGTAATTCCTTATCCGATAATAAGCACCTCGTTACAAATAATAAATATGTGACACTTGATATAATAACATATATGCGGTGGTGCTTAAAACGCTTGCCTGAAAAAGATCTGTTGTTTGGTGTAGCGAATCAGAATTTTTATTATGGATATCCGAGCTTTTGATAAATAAAACAATTTGCTACACGTTAAAACGTCTACTCCCATGTAAAATGCATGGATATCCATTCACAATAAATATGTATCATTCTAAACTTAAACATCGTACCATAGATAGCTCCAGATTACAGGAAGGGCTATATACATCAGAAAAATAACGTCAATAAGAGGTTCTCAATAATATTCATGAATTGTAACTCACATTTTCAATAAAACTTGATTCTTTCATCATCGTAATCCCGCTAATCCCAAAAGATTCGGTTGCCTCAAGGATTTTTTGTGTTCCCGGCGAGATATCATTCTTTGCGCGGAATGACGAAACAAACATTGATGATGATTTATTCACGACAAATCTCTGCTGTTTTTTAATATTGATAGTTGGAAGTGTCGTTTTCTTTGGAGAAGGTGTGATATTTGATCGAAGTTTGGTAGCATCTTGAAGAGTGTTGGGTCTTTTTGGTGGTGTCGATTGTTTAGATGAATGTAAATCTTTTGAATTAATGTTCATCGTGTTTGAAGGTGAAGACGCTGTCAAATAGTATTTAATACTATTTGGATCATGGTCATGGATGGGTGTATTGGATGCTGATCCCTTCTTTCTATAAGATTTAGTAACGCTGGTGCGACGACTGACCTTCGTTGAGAGCATAGTCTTCGTCGTTTTGATCGACTTTTTAATTGATGATGTCTTTACTTTTGTTTGAGTACTGAACACGACACTTTTCCTGGTATTGGATTGTGGCTCGGAGAGAACAGTTTTTGCCAGTAGATTATCTTCCTCCTCTTCTTCCTCGTCAGATGTCAAAATAATAATATCAGATGAATGATGACTCAGTGAAATTGAATTTCTTTCAGAGATACGACTAAAATAACTGGTAATAGGGGATTCTGAATTTTTGGACATAACCGAATTTTTTGTTTTTGTGAATGAATTACGTGGCGATATCTTATTATTGTTGTCAACATTGTTGAAACGACAATTGTTTATCGGGGAATCAACAGACATCATATCATCCGAGGTGTCTGAACGAGCAGGAGAATTCTTGATATCTGAACTCGCATTTAAAGCGTATTGGCGAGGTGATTCAAACATATTCTCGCTATACGAATTGATGATTTTTTTCGCCCGCGGAAATTGAAGTATCGGTTGTTGACGTTGATTTGGTAGAACATATTGCGTCTTCAATCATGTCATGAATTAATAACAAACAGAGATTCATAGGAAGAATCAACGATATCGCTCATACCTTTATTAATTCATCAGTTAAACTGAATGTGTGTTCTGAATCCGTCGTCTCATCTAATTAATAACAACAAAGCTATACAGTAAACGTCTTATCCCAAAACTAAAGACGCGACAAAAACCCAACAACGACGTTAATTATTACTTCGCAATCAAAAAGACGAGACCAGTCAGTCTCCAAAGCCCAATACACACATACCAAAACTCGCGGAACGGGCCCAAAAAGCATCCAGGGAGGCTTGGTCGAACGCCATGTAATTTCTATTGTTTTTTCTGAAATGGAAATTTTAGGAGTTTGGTATCGTTCTATTGCGAAACATAGACCAGAAAATTGCAAGATTTATGTTGCAACTTTTCTTTTGAACAAGGCACCGTGACAACAATTACTAAGTACAAGACCCAAAATGATCGAGAATAATTCAACTCATATGATTATCAAAACAAATAATTTTGTAATTTTGTAATTTTGCTCGATATATTTGAGGTTAACCAATTATATTTAAGAGAGATCAACAAAATTAATTAGATCCCCGCTAAACTTGGCGTAGGTAAACAAACATCTTTTAACATGTTATGCCAAGTAATCCTCTCTAAAAAACTTTGTAATATTTTGGGCAGTCTCATGATCTAACGAACAATCCAGCAACTGCGACTCAGTAGCAGTGGCGATGTTATAAATTGTCTGAAGACCTTCCTGAAGGACATAACAATCTAGGAATAAAGCATCCGCATTCGATTACTGATTAAATACTCTAAAATCATATCGAGAAACTCAAATAATTAATAGATTCGTACCGTGTAATCGTAACTTTTCCGTTCCAGCAGACATTTGAGCAACAAGATGCACCCATTTGTTGGTAGTAATCAAGTTTATTGGATCATTGGCGCTTTGTTCTTTGCACTTTCCAATATAGAAGACAGATAAATTTGATATTTGACGCGCGTCAAACAATAACGATACGCAGATAATAAATGAACAAGTTACTTTTGCTAGTTGTTGCTGAATTTCCGGTTGAGTGTCTGGATGAAGTATATCCGAGATTTTTCCAATGAAATCGATAACTTCATGTGTATTATGAACCGGAAGGATCTTTATCATCGTGAAAGATGCGAGTAACCTTTGTTTTTTCATTTATTAGCAAATTATTATTAAGATAAAATTGAAAGATCGTAATTGATACCAACCGACTTTGAATCTCATACAACGGTTGCATATTTCCATATGCAAGATAGATCAAGAGGTAAACCTTGCGATACCGTTGATTGCAAAGTTGAATCCTTTTTTGTGTTAATTTGTTGACATCGACACAACCAAAAAGTTGAATTGATTATATACCTTTTAATTAATTTCTGGATCAAATCCTGTTCTTGACTATCAGAGTTTAATGATTCCCAATCCTTGTACGAGAGACAAAGAAACGTGACATTTGACTTTGGAAATGTGAGGTCCTACTTTACATCATAACGGTTAAGGATGCTATGATTTTGATACATAATAAACTAATCCAAGTGAGAGAACAATTACTACTCCTGGTGTTGATCGAGTGCTCTCAAGGTCTAACAATAAAAAGAAATTACTCTATGAGGAAATGTTAAATTGTATTCAAAATTCCACGTACATCTTACGCGCCATTCTTCTTTTTTCTTCATTTCATCCGCGGTAGATTTCCATTCTTCTCCAAGATTTTTGTTGAAAAGTAACACTGGTTGTGTCATTGCATGTAAATAAAAAGATTGCGAATGATGACGGTTCTAATTTATCTTAAACATCATCCTTAAATTCACTTCTATTGTTAATTGAATAAAACTGACTTTCGATTTTATTAATTATTATGTCATTGTGATTGATTGAGGTTGATTAATTTGATATTGTAATATATCTATATCAGGATACAAAATTGCAGCAAAAACTATAACTACAATAATAATAATAATAATTTATCCAAATTAAGTGTCTCAATCAAAAACAAATAAATGAATGAAACACACATAAATTTATTTTTCACTCCTCAATAATTAAACTACCCCTTACAAACCCAACAATCATTCGAGTATTCTGGTCTATTGTTATTATTGTTCTTGTTATGATCTTAGTAATTAATGTGCTCTTGGAGTGGACCATTCTTCGTTCTCAGAATCGGAAGCGACTTTTTGTTCGATAAGTTCAACCGTCGTCTCTTCACCTAAAATCTCAAATTCCGAATCATCACCGAATTCAGCCGGATCAACTTCATTACCATCTTGGTCGATATATTTCACGACTTCTATTTTAGGCTGTGAGCTGGCTGTTACTGTTGTTATGGTGTCATTTGATATAGTTGTAAGGATACTGTCTCGGAAATCTGGGGAAGTGAGTTCACTTAAAGGTCGAGAGGAACTAGTTTGCATTGAATCTGCTTGGGTAGAAGTTTGCGAGAATGCTGTCATTGTACTATCACGTATAGTTGGATGGTCCCTGTAGCTTTTCATTATTTGTTCGGCGTATTGTGCAGCACCTCCAGTTTCCATGTTTTCGTTAGTAACCGTTACCACTTCTGTAATATGCGAATTGGTTGATTTTATCGATATTACTTCGATATCTCGTTTAATACTACCGAGAAGATTCGATGAGGAGGAAGTGCTAACATTTAATTGATCAGTCGATGCTTGTTGCTCTAAATATAGTTCAGCATTGGCTGCTGTTTGAGCGTCCAAAAACAAAGAATTACGTGGTGTTTCTTCAGATATAATAGTAACAATTGTTTGATCCAAAACTGTTGACGTCTTTTCTCCAGATCCTTTTGTTGTAGATTGTGAAGAGCGTTTTGATTCTGATTCTTTAAAGAAAATTTCCGCATTAGATGCAAACTTTTCGTGTTTTTCAATAAGATCACGATCCGGGTATTTTTCTCCTCGAATAACACTTGAAGTCTGAGATGACACTGATTGCTTTCTTTCTTCGTTCATAGTCAATGCTGTAATACTAGTCAACACATCAGTATCGAAGGATCCCAATTTAAGGTCATGAGTACCACCGATAGTAGTGCTATTAGTCGTCGTTTCTTTCTTTGATACATTATCCAATTTTTCACCGCTCGTCGCCTTACCGGGAATAGGTGCATGCTGTTTACTACGACCAGTCTTATCGGTTTTTTTAGCAGCAAAATGACCAGGACTTGGACTTGGAATTACAACAAGGTTATCATCATCTACTGGTTTCTCAATTTTGCTTGCATTATCATTTGCAGTTTCGGAAGCTTTCTTTTTAGTTATATTTTTAAGTCCCCAAAATCCAGCAACAGCACCAAGCGCAGCTGCAGGTTTCTTAGCTTCACTCATGGTTGGTTTTTTAATGTTACTTGTATTATCCGATGAAGGAATATTTGCTATCGGTGTATCATTGGCAGAAATTGGCGACTGATTTGCAGTTTCATTAGGATTATTGGATGGCGTAGGTGATGTGGAATCTCGTTGCTTGGCTTTATTTAATCCGAAACGAGCAGCACCTGGGATAAAATTGACAAGTTTACCGGATGAAGGAACTGCATCACCCGGATTATTACCTTCAACTGGTCTTTTTATTTTTCCAGATGACGAGTCTTTTGAATCAGCTTTGCCATATTGAGTCGCACCTCCACTCATTGGATCAGCAAATGGATTTGGTGCACTTGTATTATCCATTGTTTTAGCTTTCTGAACTTTTTGCTGAGTTTGAGATGGTATCGCGTGCATTTGATCATCAATAGGTTGCATTGGTTGTTGTCCAGAATTTACAGATCTGGTTGAAGATGTAGGACTATCACCTTCAGTGCTATTGTTTCTTTGCAATAAAGCTCCCTCTTCGTCGATTTCTTTTCTACTACGTATATAATCAGTTTTGACAAGATATGCTCTCATGAACCTTTCGAAATTATTGATTCGATCAATAATCTCCTGATTTGGGTCAGCTTTGTTAATAAATGGTGTTGGCCACCTTCCGTATTCATTGGTGACGTGTCGTTTGGTGGTTTTCCTACAACAGCAAAGTTGGCAACATCCCCATGGTAGAACAGGAGCAAATCCTGTATGCATACATTTATATTAATCATTTGATTGATCAGTAATAATCAATGAGCATAAAATAATCGGAAAATAAAAAGAATCGGTAATTACCAAAGCAACAACTTAATACCCCAAGTGTTAAAAGGGAAAAGCCACTGATCAATGCTATCGTTTGCAAAATCTATTTTATTCCAAAGAATTTATCAGGTGAGCAATCATTCTTTTGTTTGCGCAAACAAAATGGATCTGAAAAAACTTACATCATTCATTCTTTATTATTTGGGTTCGAGAAGTAGATGAGCATGTTAATAAATCGAAGGCTACAATAATCAAATCAAATCAATCAAAGTAGAAACTGCAAAAAAGACATACCGATGTTCCTTTCTCTCCTCGACCACCCAATCCGATGTTCCAACTAACAGATTGCCGTACACACTTCCGATATAAAATGAGGAATTAGCCGCAAGACTACTGATGGCAGGAACAGAAGCGGTTTCTGTTGATTTTATATTAAAATTACAAGTTTGTTATTAGCATGAAACTATCATCTAACAGAAATGATAATAATTATTTAAAAGATCAAATTCTAACCAAATGACGTTTCAATGTAAGGGAAAGAAAAATGTTTCGCAGGGAATCCCGTATAACTGATCCATGATGGATTTACGCGGTTTGATATTTTTCGCTTAATAAACATAAAGTTTTCCTTGAAGAAATCGACGAAAAAAATGTTAATATCAAGAGGCAATGGTGAATTGAATTACGTCTCAATACAATATCTACCGCATAAGTTCCAATGATATTCTTGTTAGAACTATTGAGATAGGAAAAGAAGTCTGGATCCAACTTTTCAATAGTTTCGCGTGTATTGTCCGGTAATGTATAAGGATCGAATTCTATTTGTATTCAACGGAGATTTAACTATTAAGAGAAAGATCTTCGTTTTTTTTTTAATAAAAACAATGAAATTAGATAAATACCTGTATCGATAGCATTTACAAACATTCCTAAATCATTTGTGGCATTATAAGAGGAATCATCTAAAACTATGGTGAATTGAGCAGCATATCTTTGTTCTTTTAGACTATAATTCAATGGTGGCACATCGGGGGTCGAAAAATTATATGTGATCATGCGCGCATGGTATTTCCCATAGTTGTCTTTTTCTAGTGGTTGCTTGATGTAGGAACTACAAGGTTCATTTGACAAGCTGCCATCTATACAAATCGATATTGATATCGTTAATATATCAAAGGTAGATTAAGTGTAAGAGTATAAAAACAGACATACTCATATATTTAAAATTACACGTGACATTAAATCGGTAATTGAAAGCGATGTCCAAATCTATTTTTTTATGGGAATCATTCGTTACTTGATCATCAAAAAGAGCATAAAAAACAAAATAAAGATTCATTTACTTGGCATCGGTATATGATTTTTCAAAGCACGTTTGATTTTCACCACTGGTCTTTCAGTCACTACAATCCAAATTTCGGAAAGTGCATAAAGAATCGCGATAATCAAACAGAACACCCAAACACACGCTTGCACTCTTTTCAATGTTTTTGGGTCTCTTTTCTTTTGCCTCCATTTCTGACGGAGACCTTCCTGTATACCACCATCACTGGTCATGCTATTTGTTGTCTTTTAATGATTATTCTTTGTAGTGTTTCGTTTTTCTTTGTATTATCGTTTTTAATAGTAGAGAAAAACGCGCGCACTCAAGCACACACTACACGTAAATCTTATTTTGTTCCGAAAGTCAATTCTTTGCTCTTTAACCGTCGCGTCTGAAAAAAGCACTTTTTATTTTTAATATTTAAGAATCTACTTTAGCTCGTCTTGTAGAAACGTCATAAAACTATAAAATTATAAAATTATAGACGACGCGAGAAACATCGCAAGAGCAAAAAATTGTAAAGAAGCAGATTCGAGAACATGCGAGTGGCAGGTAAAATAAAAAATGTGAAGGTTAACTTAATCTGATTCCTGCAGACTGTGTGTAATCTGTCGTGTACCAACGGGTGTTAGTGCTCGGTTTTTACTTTGAGATGATTAATTTGGAAAACAATTGCGATTGTGATTAGGTGCAGATCAATGAATTTTCTTTGGGCAGCGGCTGCCTTAATTCTATTTCAATGTGTTTCTTTTACATGCAGCACAACGCGTTTATGAATGATAGAAGAAAAAATTTTTGGCTTTTTCTAAATCGGGTGAATATATGAACCGTTTCTGCTAACGTTCGGGCGAATTTCCAAATTCGTGATACAAATGACATTCTAATTCTATAACGAGATTTATAGTATTAAGAACAATAGGAATTAATTTTCGGGTTTAACGTTAACGTTGGATTATGAAAAATCGCCTAACGCTAACGCTTTTTAATATCCGTTTGAATATACATATTTTCTTCGAAATTTATTTACTGACTAATAAATCATGATCTTCTGCGCATTAATACGCGAATACTAGTAGGGATTCTTTGGGGATTACGATCTATTCGAAAAATTCAGAATTAATAAATAGATAAAACAACATGGATGGATACCCAGTTTACTTCAATTTACCCTGTCGTGATCTACTTCTCATAACGTGTCCATAAACTCCGTTTAGCATTATTTGAAGTCGATCCAACCTCGCGCCTAATACATCAAATATCGCTTGTTGTGTGTATTCTCGATGTTGCACATCTTGAATTACTCGATTCACAAATGCTCGTTTTGTTTCGATCCAAGACTTGACGACCTCTTCGTCACTGTCTTTTAGTGAATTATATTCTTTTAATGCTTTTGTCACATCTTTCATCCAATATATTCGCGATGGACCCGAATACGAGTATAATACTGAGGATAATACATCGGAAGGAATATTCCATTCGATAAATAGTTTGTCATGACTATCAAAATAAAAGATATAAATTTAACATTTAGCATGAAAAATTTAGTCATACCTCCGTATAATCACACACACCCACGGGACCAGAGTTGTGATTGTATAGAAGTCAAATTTCCTATGCTTCACAATAGTTGGAATTGGAAAAAAGTGTGATTGTAGAAAGGGTGTGACGATACAGGGTGTAATTATAGTTAATAAATTATACCTTAATGTTCGCTCATCGACACAAGCATCGCATGCTCTGACACGAAACGCCCAGCGAATCTTAGCTGCGGCTCTACCACAAAATTGACAACCTTTCTCAACTAAACTTAGGACATAATACTGTTTTTCGTCAAGTGTTTCCGGTGGTGGTAATTGAAGTGAACGTAGATATCGAACACGAGCCAAACGCCAGATTTGTTGTGTAGCTGAGGATGTCGGAGAACAAAGGAATTCTTTGAATCTTCGACACACTCGGGTCAAAGACAAAAGATCGTAAGGAGAAAGATGTTCGCAAATTATTGCAAATATTTCTGGGGGAATTTTTGTCGCTATTGTTGTTGTTGTTGTTATGGGTATTGATGATGCTGATGTTGTTATTGTGGATATTGACGTTGATGTTGTCATTGTTAGTACTTTCTGAAGACATGTCATTGTTACTGTTGAATTTTCCAAAAAAAAAGATGATGATATTTATATTTTTTCTACTATGAAAGGAAAAAAGTTGGTATTTGAATTTAAATCAGCAAAATAAAGTAATTTAACAATAAAGAAAAATTTGAATAGGGAGAATGAGTACTATTATATTTTTTTATATCATATCATATTGATCATGTAGTGAACCGACCACTTTTCATAGTCTATGATGATAAGCTGATCAAAGAGTTGAAAAAAACGCGCTTTGCCAACAATAATAAATTTGAATCAATGTTACATACGCATATTAATTTTCAAAATGGCTTTTTATATTTCTTATTTGGGTACTATGCATCCCATGAGAGTGGTTGTGCATTTACAATCGAACTTTATACGCTAATAAAACGTTAGAATGCTGATTGTTAAAAGGGGTAAACTATCGCAATGTGCCTTTGACCAGAATTACCTTTGTCGATATTATTTGTACTAGCCAAAAGGAATTTTCCGAATACATTGATACCATACAAATCCCACAATGTTCAGGTATCGGTATTCGATGGATTACGTTTATATATAACGATAATAATTATCGTGTGACGCTGTCAATCAATGATTAAATCTTCCGATTGGGCAAAATAAATACATGCGCGTGATTTAAAGGTTGTGTAATTGTTACGACTCTTTGAAATAAAGGTCAAACTCGCATTGTATTACTTTCTTTTTGAAATGTTACGCCATTCAATAAATTCCAGCCAATTGAAAAAAAAAGAACCATGCCATAGGGTTATGGATAATAGGACAAAAACCTGTTTCTACTAGCGATTCTGTGATTCATTCAAGGCTTAATTTTTGTGAGTTTAACCATGCAGTGTCTCATTGTATAAAACATGGTTCGATTCGTTTTTGAATGGGCTCCAAAGCAACAAATCTTACAATTGTAAAATCGTGTATCGCGTTTATTCGTTCTTATTTGTGTGTGTGTGTGTGTGTGTGTGTGTGTAAAAATCATGTATGTATGCGTGTATTGCGCGCGACTAAGTCTTTGTGACCTTTTTATTACTGCATTGATATTGGTGTATCTTTGCTTCTTTTGAAGGAAACAATCCGGAGGAACCAGGGGTAACTAGGTGAAATACTGTATAAATAATGACAATTATATTGTCTGCTTGAACCATAGAAAATTCTATTTGATTATATATTATAATTTAAAGTTCAAGTGCTGTTACGTCAAAGAAATGAATGCTTACTATTACTGTTTAGTCATACACATTAATTCGTTTGAATGTGACGTAGATCATTTCTTATCTAAAAAAAAGTCCATGTGTAGATAATTGTTTCGAAATTTATTTCTAACTCGAAGAGATGATGTATGTATTTAATTTAAAAGGGACAGACTTTTTCTTGGCGTCATGATTTCCTCTCATTTTGAATACCATTTATTAATAAACTTCTATATACAGTAAAAGTTGGTTATAACGACGACGCCTTTTATAATGATACTTTTCTATATCTTTTTATACCGTGTAACCGCTTTACATTATATCATTATGTATATGTTCAGGCACGTTACTACCTTTTATTTTAATTTGAATGTCACATGATTCTAACCCATGGATATCCAAATGTCCATGCATAATTATTAATTGCATTGTGCTATCATTACGCCAGATACTTTAGCGTTAGTAATACATGTATATTCCTTCTGTTTTACGGAAAAAATAATGGGAGGGACAAAATTAAATTAAAAATTCGAATACAGTGCATGTATCTAAAAAAAACTTCATATATTTATAAAATAGCTCATCAGCTTCCAGTTTATGAAAGCTAATTTCAGTTTGATTAATAGTGTAATAGCAGTTCAAAGCTCATCACTTTTCATATATCGCCATTAATTTGAGACAGGTCATAAGCCACATGGCTGAGCAGAGCCGAATATACGAATATACTTATTTGTGCATGTAAAACAAAGCACATGACAAATACATTTATGGATATTACAAGCTAGGGTTAGGGTTGGGGAGTAAGATTATATGTAAAATTGCCTTCCCGACATTTTTATAGTACTTCAAGTTAGATTTGAATATCCATTTGCATTTTTCTCTCTTGTGTCGGATTTGTTTGCCGGGTTGATCAAAAAATCTACGCGCCACCCTGAATATCCATTTTGGGTTTGTATTACATGCACAAATAAGTATACCCGTCCACCACAACTAATCAAAAAATTCTGAAATTGTCATATGATGGAATTAATGGCTTGAACACATGATATTTTTTCAGTTTACCTGATACTCAAAAATATTATTACATGTAAACTTTTGTGCTGGATATTTTTGGTTAAAGATCAAAAGATAATTTTCATAGTAAAACTTTGAGTTATTTATGATTTTTCTGTTTTTTGTTACGTGTTTTGCATTTTCATATTATACATATTGGATAATTATCATGCGTTCAAACTTTTTGAATTTGAGACTGTGATCATGTGATTTGATGCGACTAGGTTGTATGCACTATACCGTATAAAGGATCCCCCCCCCCCTTTGTATTGTACCCGGTGCAAAATCTCAGCTATTAATAAAACCAGGGTTTATGTTTATATAATGAATGTTCGTATTCCGTATAATAGACCCACGGGTATATTAGAGAACCGTAGAATGTAACAGACCCGGGGTCTTTTATATGGCCATTTACGGTACTTAAGCATATAATGTTTAAATAATGCATTCAGGTAAGAAACAGATATTCGTAAAATCATTTACGATTAAATTAAATTTCTTAGCGAAAGATGTAGGACTTTTCAATATGCTTTTCTCGTTTTCAAACAGGACTCCAAAGAATTGATGCCATTACCAGAAAACCGCTTCTAATAGATGTGATTTAAAGCAAATGATAATATAATTTGGTTTGTGATTTGGACGCGTCATTTCATAATTGGATATCTTTTATAAATGATACCAGAAAAAGATGGTGCTAATGAAGGGTGTCACTTATAAGAGGTGTGACTAAAAAGGAATTCAACTGTATCTCTTTTTAGATAATATAACAGTTTTCTAAAGATTGGCATATCACTTGACATTATTTATATGTGCTGACTTGTGGTAAATATTGCAAAAAGTCACTGGGATGTATTGTATATTTTCTTTCTCCTTATCCAATGGTGACGCCTCTTGGTCTTCTTTTAAGCAAGGCCAAAACATTTCCATAAGACATTACAATACATTAAAGATCTATAATTATACATGAAAAATCAGCGGTCTTTGGCATAAACCGTGAAATATTCAAAATGGTATTATTTTTCCATCCATATATGTCCAGAGTTAATTGAACCTTGCATGGCAAATTTGCATAGGTAGTTGTAAACATTAATGTGATTAATAAAGAAAGAGTTTTTTTGGAATTAATTTTACGATTTTTTGTATCGATATCGAGATCAATTAGATACAGATTAAAGAGGCAAGAAATTGATATATTTTTCTGAACATAATTTTAATCATCGTTAATATTCGTTAAAGTAGCACTGCGATTATTTGGTACTACTTAATATTCAATTCTAATTTATGTCCTGAAGAATATGGAAGATCAGGATCAAAGTTTAGACTATTTGTTTTTAATAACAAAAGGTAAATTAGTCATCGTCATTCAAGTGGAAACGTTTTCACTTTTAAAATTTGAAATGAAACTTGTATACAAAGTCTTTGCCAAGACACTGATTATTTTATTGATACGGAATTATGGACAAAAAGAGTTCAATATGTAGGTGCAAATCAGGGTTTGCAAGTTGGTTAATTCCAGGAATGCATATCTTTTCAATCGGACCAATCACCAAGTAACGGCTTAACGACTTTTATCATTTTTCGTCTTAAAGAGTATATTATATTACTTTGCTTTGGAGTGAAAAATAATGGTTCAATATTAAAAGATTACTTCTGATGTGGTTTTTATTTTTCTCAACAGTTTGCTAACAAGAAAGAACACTCTCGATTTCAAAAAATAGTACCAATTTGCACTAAGACATGACGACAAAACAAATACGTAGCTACTCGGAACATTTCAGTTTCTATCAGCAAATAGAAATTAATTAATGAACAATAATCCAGGACGTGAAATCATTCTTTTTTCGTTGTATACGTACCGGTACTAATAATAATTCAGACTGTGTGACTCTCCCATTTTTGACCAAATAAAGAAAATTATCTTGTAACATTAAGGATGATAAGGACGATAGTACCTTATCCTTAATGCGAGTTGTATTATAAAAAGAAGCGTTTCTACCCTTGATTTTGTTCACCACCAACTCGAAAAACACGATCCTTCCTTTTCTTTGATATAGACTGGTTCTATATCGTGGTGCAAAATCCCCTTATTCTTTCTTAACATACGCATATTCATTCAACAATACAGAACTGGTTCTGTAATTTCTACTTACCATCATTTCTTGCATCATTATCACTTAAAATAAATAAATCATCAAAAATGAAGTTCCTTGCAATCTTAGCATTATTGATAACGGCAACGTCACTAACAATCGACGCAAGACCAACCGGAAAATCTAAACAAATGACTATTTCAATAAAGAAGGATGAATTACCAAGTTCCTTCACGTGGAAACAAAAACAAACGATTCACATGAATCGGGCTTTGTTAAAATATTCGAAAAATATCCGCGCAGCATACAGTAAAGGTCTCGTCGGTCAAGAGACGATCCAAAAATTAGAAGCGGCATCTATTCCAGTGTCCACCGGTGATACCACTATCAATAATAGTAATTCGACTGACTCTGTAACTGCTCTAGCAACTTCAGTAAATAATCCATTAAGCGATCAAGGCAATGATATTGGTTATTTTGGTCCAATCCAGGTTGGTGGTCAGACTTTCAATACTATCTTTGACACTGGCTCTTCGGATCTTTGGGTTCCAGATCAAAATTGTACTGATCCAGCATGCAGTATTCATACAAAATTCGATAAAACAAAGAGTCAATCGTTTGATAGTAATAATAATGTTCCGTTTGCTATCCAATATGGTACTGGTTCTGTTTCCGGAGTAAGTGCTCTGGATACTATTTCTATCGCTGGTGCTGTAGCTAACAAACAAGTTTTCGGTTTAACTCAAAAAATGTCTAATGAATTCGCGAATACTCCATTTGATGGAATTCTCGGAATGGGATTAGATCAATTGAGTGCACAAAAGGCCAAAACTCCATTCACTCAATTAGTAGAACAAAAGGCTGTACCGAATTCAGTTTTCGGTTTTTTCCTTGGTCGCAAGAAAGATGGAACCGACACTCAAAGTCAACTCACTCTTGGTGATGTTGACTCTACTAAATTCAGTGGTAATATCAATTTTAATAAGCTCGTAAGTAATACCGGATTCTGGGAAATTGCTATGGATGATGCTGCGGTGAATGGATCGTCACTTGGCTTCAAGTCAAAAACTGCAATTATCGACACTGGAACGACTCTTATTGTCACACCTGACGCAGCAGCAATTCACAATCAAATTCCAGGTGCAGTCGATCAAGATGGCCAATTCTTCGTTCCTTGCAATACTACAGCTATCGTATCACTCGCATTTGGTGGTGCCAGTTTCGATATATCATCTAAAGATTTAGCTCGCGACCCTATTGGCCAACAGAATCTTTGTACTTCGGGAATCGCTCTTGGTCAAATCGGTGGTCCTGATCAATGGTTGGTTGGTGATACTTTCCTCAAAAACGTTTATTCTGCATACGATACTGTGAAACTTGCAGTTGGATTTGCCCCAGCAAAGCAAAAATTGTAAATAACAAATTAGATTTTTCTTTTAAAAAAATGAAATTTCTTTCTAAAGTTGTAAAGATTTTAAAAATCGATAAAAGCTATCGAGCGAGTAAATTATTTTGTAGAAATATAATAAAACACAATTTACAAATATAGCAACGTGTTTTGATACAATACTTATAAACTCAAAATAAATGTCCATCAATAAGAATAGTAACTTCTAAACGCAAGAGGAATGCAATACACTAAAGCAGCAAAGAACTATTAAAGTTCCAATGCCTATAGCTAACTATGACTTCATAAAAGTCATTATCGTTGTTGCTATGTCAACTAGATATACCCTGTCATAATTACAATGTTAACGACAGAGTGACCTAATGGGCTCTCTTATGAATGGATCTGCATTAATGTCCCAATTCATTAAATATCACTTGTAATGAAATTTCTTAACTGAACAAAGAGCATTATGACAAAAATTTACCATTTCCAAATACTATTTGAGCATTACCATTAATGAGGGGGAGAACTAAAGATCATCTCCTCGAAGAAAAAGGCGAATATGATTTGATCACAACTCCGGGAATTAAATCATGTCCTCCTTTTTCTCCTGGAGGATAACCTCTAGTTCTTCTTCATAACTCTATTTTATAATATATTAAACATCTTTTATTGATATATATATATATATATATACATATATCCCATTATAAGTAATACCAATAATACTCAGTATAGAAATTGAATAGTCTATCAAAGTGAAAAAGAATAAAAAAGGTAGTGATTATAAAAATTATACATATTAATTAATCAAATAATGAAATTTAGAATTTTGTTAATGAAAAAAAATCTAAAAATATATTTTTTTATTAATATAGTTATATTATTTTCTTAAAAATTTTATTATTAATTTCAATAATATAAAAAATTAATTATATTTGAATTTAAGTCAAAATTATTTAAATTTAAAATTTAAAGTTAATAAATTTATATATTAAAATAAATTTAAGATTTATTTTCATCTGATATATTAGTACAATCTAAAATACTTAAGAATATAAAGTAAAGAATTATTATATAAAGATTATACAAGAAAAAAATTGCTATTTTATAATAAATTAACTTAGTTACAAGATAGCAATTTCTTTTTTTAAAAGAATTCTTTATTTTTTACTAGTATTTATTTAAAAAGTTATTATAGTTCATACAAAAAATAAAAGTTAATAATTATTTCTAATAAAAGTCATACAAAATATAATCAATATTTATAATTTTTTTATATAAAGTAAAATATATCTTAATATAATTTTTTATATTATTTTTAATATTTTTATTTAAAAATAAATAAACAAAACTTTTCATTTTTGAACAATAAAATTTGCAATTTTTAAAAATTAAAAATAATTTTTAAATATTATTATTATAAATTGTTATTTTTAAAAATTTATACTCAGCAAGTATATTAATATAAATATAATAAATATATATTTCTAGTTATTGAAAAATTAAGTTTTAAGATTTAAGAATTTAATTTTTTTATGATATAAATTTATTAAAAATAATTATAAATTATTATATAAAAAAATTAAAATAATCAAATTGAAATAGTTATTAATTAATAAAATTTTTTATTTTTATTTATATATAATAAAAAAATTATATAAATATATTAATTATAATTTAAATATTATATTTAATAAAAAAA